TGATGTCTATTCTCAACCTTACACTGCAGCCGTAATTCAGCCTCTGGGCTGCAAGTGGTCAGATATAAACTATATTCAACTATATTCAACTATTCAAACCCTCAATTTCCTTCCTGTAAGTCCTGTTACACAGCCATCAACAGCCTCAGCCACTGTCAAGGTACCAACATCACCACTTACACTGGCATCAATTAACTCAATTATTTTTCATCTTCCATTAGGGGTTTCCTTGAAAAAAAAAAATTAAGTGAGAGTAAGAAACATCACTATTCTTCCTTCTCCAATTGCTACTAAGTTGTCCAAGTTTACCTGGATCCAGTTGTTCGAAGGATGGATAAAACTATCCACTGGACAAATCCCTATCTCTGGTGGATAGCACAGTACATTTTCTTACATTTAACACCTTACCCTTTCTTTCCCAAGATCTAATTAATAATTCTCCTTATTGTCTGCCATACAACTCTCATGCTACTGAGGTCCTTTGTGGTTATTCTTTGCAAGCCGGCAATGCTCAAGTAGATCGTTTTAGGGGGGCCACAGACGAAGTTAATAATTTTGTTACTGTTCATTGTCAATAATATGTACATTTCATGTAGTACCTTATGTAATACTGACCCATACTGTAATTCAGACTTAGCTGTGAGAGTATGGGATTAAACGATCATCATCAACTAATAATCCCCTAATTGATATTTTTCTTTAATCTCATCACTTGTCCACTTGACATTGTATTGATATTATAGGGAGAAATTCTCTCTTGGTCACTCCTGGGAGCAAAAGGGTTAAAACAATTTAACAACTGCAGGACAGCATTATCCACCCTTTGAACAACTGGGTCCTAACCCTGGTTGTTTGAAAGGTGGTTAACACTATCCAGTAGATGAATCTCTACACAGTGGATAACCTGTTGGATTCTTTATGATGTATCTGCTAGATAACTATCCATCCATTGGATAGCATTATTCCTCATTTGAAAAACTGGGCCCTAGAAGATATATTGCAGAACATTTTGTTAACAGTTGATTAAGGATCTCTTTGGATGTGCTTAAAACTGGATTTAAGTGTCCACTTAGGTAATAAATTCACTGAAAACTCAAATCATGCACCTCTTTTTACATCTCAAAGTACATTTAAAAACAAATCAGTCCAGGCCCCTGAAAAGGCTCAGAAAAGATTTAACTAATGCAAACTTCATATTCTAAGACAGTGATAATTTGAGTGTCTGCATTAAGATTTCTTTAGATTTTATGTACCTTATAACAATTTTCACCAACCAATCACTTACAAATTGGAAAGACTTTCTAGCATAATCGCCAGAAACAACTCTTTCTATTGCTAAATGCCATCTAATATCACCACAAAAGTCTTAAAGAAAGTGTCTACTTCACTCAGTCCTACCTAAGCTCCCATCGTGAAGTTAAAAAAATATCCTAGTCTCAAACATACGGTGGCTCTCAAGGGCCATCCACCTACAAAAATTTTCATGACTTTATTGCGCGATAAAGTTTTGCTAAGTCCATTTATTCAAAAAAAATTTGCAATCAACATTATTGCGCGATAATTTTATTACTAGCTCCCATGGCCCCACAACCAATAGCACATAATTACATCCATAGCAAGATGGCAGACCAAGTTTCGAAGGTAAGTAATTGTCCAAGAAATAAAGACTTTTATTCTTGATTTTTGAGCAAGAGATGGTAATCTTTGGGTTAAATTATGCTTTCTTAGCAAGTGGGGTTAAAGATCTGAGAGGGACTTTATTGCTCTATATTTGAAAGATTTTTTATGAATATAAGGTGTAGGAATACGTTTTTAAAATATATGAGGTGTATAAGGTGAAAGATTGTTTATGACTATAGGGCGTTGAGATACGTTTTTAAACTAGCACATGAATTACAGCCCCCAGATTGCCAAACAAACCGATTGAAGTAGTTTTTTTTGTGTGTGTGATCAAGAGAATCTTGAAGAGCTGAAGAAGCAATATTGACATATTATTGAATAAAGCTTTCGCTAATGCAAAAATCTACTTTAATTTCGACCGTACAAACCTGCTGTAATATATGCATTATTAACCAAGCATGAGGTCAAGATGGCTGGATATTGGCCAAGTTCTTTTTTCCCATTTTTATGCACTGAGACAAAGTCAAGGTCCATAGAAAAGAACAAGGTTAATATCCAACATCTTGACGGAACAAGCTTGGTTAATAAAGGATTTATTATACTGCAAAAAGATTTTGCTCTACTAAGAATTAAGAATGACTTGTTTACTTCAAGGGCTGGGAAAGAAAGCCAACTGTCTTTATAGCACAACAAACTCACGAGTTAAGACTATCTTCTGCCGCTTTTTGCATTTCCACCACTAAAATTGTCCAAGAGTTACAAATGTACTTCTAATTCGTTTTTTTTTTTTTTCATACACAGGATCAATGCAGGCAATGCCGAGCAGGCAAGAGTGCCTGCTCTGGCAGCCAATCAGAATGCAGGATTTGCTTGGTCTTGCCCACTGGTGTTGCAAGTGATGTTAATTGATTAAAAATCACACATTGTGCCATATAATGTAACTGTTTTAGTTGATACGAAAACAATAGGTATTCACCTCTGTGTTGGTGGCTAGTGGTAGCCACCTCCACATCACTGAATAGTTGTTGATAATTATCAGATTTTACCCTCAACACACCTCCTCGTCTAAAAGATGATATGCCAGTTTTTAGACAATTGGACTTGCCAAGCAAAAGCTTGTCCCTGGACAACGTGTTAGTCAAAATGCAGAAAAAAACTTAAGTAGCACCACAGGTACCACAAAACTGACTCTTTCCCCAAACTAAAACCTTTTGTAGGACTGACAAACTCCCATTTTATTGAAATGAATTGAAACCACTGAGTTAGTACGCCTCAAAAATTCTTTAGAGTATTGAATCCAGATATATCACTAGAACTAAAACTTACTTGTAGACTGGGAGCTCCCAGATCAACTCTTGTATCAAATACAGCAATTTCAATTCCACAGCCATCATACTTGGGATATTTAGCCAAACATTGATCTGCACCCCGAAAGTCGCCGGTGTTGATAGCCGCCATCTTTGAATTGTAGGTTTAACCATTGATCACAGTGTTCCAGCGATAAATGAAAATATGATAACCAGGGGAGGACAGGTAGTGATTCTGTTTGTAACTCAGCATTACACTTTGCTTATGAAAAGCATTTCCAAAAAGATGTCCCAGATGATAAAAGTTGTAACATGTACATGTACATGTACAAGCTAATAATCACCCTGGAAGAACCCATCATCAAAATGTATAATATTCAGAAACTTCAATTTCACCACATCCATTACATAGGAAAAACATTTGTTAGAGAACCCTTAAAAATATTATTTTCTTGACTATATCATGATATTAAAAAATTAATATAAATACATAATCTTCAGAAACTACAATTTCACTACATCCATTACATGGAAAAAAAATTTGTTAAGGAACCCTTAGAAATATTACGTTTTTGAAATTATGATCTTATATTCCATAGCAGTCCAGTCCAGGCAAATAATTGTACACTTCAGAAGTAAAAGTTTGTATGAATGTATAATCCTCAGAAAATACAACTTTACTAAATCCATTACATGGAAAAATATTTGTTAAGGAACCCTTACAAATATTACATATTTGACATTATGATATATTAACGTCCAGTGCGCCCGTATGCGCCCATGGGGACCCACACCCTTTCTACGCCCTGTGACGTCATCAATTTTAACCCTGGAGCACGAATTCGAGCATCTACTTGAACGGGTTGAAAATATCTTGCAGACGATACCAGAATGAGCGCAATTGAATGGAGGAGATTGGAGAAATAGCCAAAAAACCGTGTCACTTTGACCGGAAAATCTGCACGAAGATCGTGTTTCACTACCCACCTACCTTTCCGAGCATGTGCTTTGAAAATAATGAGTAGTTTCTGAAAAATCTCTACACCAAACTGAAGCCTACTCAATTTCCAGCAAGTGAGGAGTGACTTAAGGCAAGGAGAGGGGAAAAAAAGGGCAGGAGAAAGAGAGAAAAGTAGAAGTCCTAAGTGGGGCATGACTTTTCAACCCAAAAACTATGTCGAAATTTTGCTCTCTGCGCGTGCCCGAGATTTTCAGGCCGCCATTTTGCATTTGGATCGAAAGGCCGTCGAGTGCACGAGCTGTCAAGTGGTTTTTGGTAAGTTGGAGCTTTTAAAACCCCAACAGTGACCTGAAATCTGCTGGACTAGCTTCAAAACACAGTTTTCCACAAAAGCTGCGGCCATTAATGGGTTAAGGAAACCTTACAAATATTACATATTTGACATTATGATATTATGGTCACTCTCTAGCAGCCCAGTCCCATCCAGGCAAATAATTGTACACTTGAGAAGTAAAAATTTGTATGAATATATAATCCTCAGAAACTACTATTTCACTACATCCATTACATGGAAAAAAACATTTGTTATAGAACCCTAAAAAATATTATATTCTATGGCAGTGACCAGTCCAGGTAAATAATTGCACACTTAAGAAGTCAAAATTTGTATGAAGTCTTAGAGACATGATACTGTCCAAACAAACCACTTTCATTGCTCTAATCTTAAACCCCAAAAAGCTGCTTGAAATACAAATCCTCTTCTGACTGGGCTCTATGGAAACTTCAACTTCACAACATCAATTAAAAAAAACTCAGAAAAAACTACATCTTTAAATACATTTGGTGTATCCAACAATAGTTACCTAATACTTAAAGAGATAATTTCTATTTCATCTTCAAATGTCGTACTGTAAATACTTTAAAAATATGATATTTTAATAAACTACAAATCTAATAAAATTTCTTCAACCCTTTGACCTTGAGAGTGACCAGCATCTTATTTCTCCTCACAACATCGCTCCTAAATCAAACATCAAGGTTGCAAGAATAAAGAAGATGATCAGCAACTAAAGACACTCTTGATTGTTGAACAAACTCTCCTTGTCAGCACCTTAGGAAATGTATAGAGAATAGTTGGGAGAATATGCATACTAATGTTAGGGAGTAAAGATTTAGTCTCATATCTATGCCAGTAATCAGGCTATCTAGTTTCAAATAATCCAGCTTCGGGAAGGCTCGAGTGCCCTCCATAGGATAAGGGTTATCCCAAACTACATCTAACAGTACCATAGCCATCTTTGAAATTTTTATTTTGGCAGTATGCAATGTTGATCCAGCTATTTGTCACATTACCAAACAGCACCAGCCTTCTCAAGGCTGAGACGCGTTAAGAGCCATTATCATACTGTTTTACTCGACAAAAAAAATCAACATAAAATCTATATCAATACCAATACCTATTAAGTCGTAGGACAAATCTTTGCAACAGGTGTTTCCATATTATGCAAAAATGAATCCATAAACCATCACCAACATAAATTGAGAAACAAAAGATTAAAGTTGTTGTGGATATGGGTTAATTTCTGTGTGGTTTTTGCCCTTTTTTCAAACAGAAGGTCAGCTCCTTCATTTTGCAAGAGTTTTATAGCACCTGTGTTCTTGGTTTCATCCAGTTCATCAGGATCATCACGATCTTTTTGAACGCTTGGGGGAGAACTCTGAAGGGCCACTCTTGGAGCAGGTTTCAATGCCTCTTTTTGCAAGGGGTCCTTTGTTCTCTTGATCACTTATCCCCTCATCTGATTTTAAAGCCTTGCCACCATACTCAGTTGTTATCACAATGAGATAACAGAAGCATCTAGAAACTGCTGTGTATAGAAGTTCCTTTGTCCTCCTACTGATCCAGTCTTTGCCTTGCAAAAATGGTGGGTCGTAAAGAACCACCACTTTGGACTCCAACCCTTTAAAACGCCTGATGCTCTCAACCACTACTTTGTTTGGTGCAAAATTTAAATACAGGTCTTCTGCATTTTGACTCTCAATTCCCAGTTTCTCGAGCTCTGAACTGATACCATCTCGAATTTCTACATTTCGTGTCAGAATGCAGATGTCTCTGCCCTCAACTTTGTTTTTTTGGAGGCTTTTGATATGCTTTACAATGCATCTTGCACCAGCACCTTCCTTATCATTTCTGTTCATTGTTAGCGATTCATCCCACTTGATTTCTAATCCCTGTATATTGTGCCCTAACTTGATACATTCTACTGATGAATGACCCACATAGTACTTCTTTGACTGATCAAAGATGCTTCCAGTATTTCTGAAAACTGTACAGAGCTTGTAGCCTTTAGCAATTGATTGTTGGTGTGACCTATACTGCTTCTCAGAAAGTCTTACATATTGATTGGCATCATACAAGAACCACATGTGTTTGGGTTCCCTAAATGAACGATCATCATCATCATCATCATCATCATCATCATCACCATCATCATCATTCTTGAGCAACCTCTTAAAAAGAGTTGGCCAATTGACACCACAAAGATCTTGGCATTCGTCAACAAATATATGATCATATTGTTGGGCACAACCAGTTTCCTCTAACCGTTTCAAGGCTAGGGAAACATGTTCTGCCTTCTCTTCATCAGATTTACCTAATTCAGACCCAGTAATTTCAAGGAGAAGTGAGTCAAAAGTCTTGACTGTAATAACTTCTTGTAAATTACCATCCTGCAGAAGATTGATCAAATGATCTTCAAATGTTTTGGCAAACATCTTGGACAAAGGCCTGTTGTAACAGACCACAAGTATTTTTTCTTTTGTCTCTCGAAAAAGTGCATCCTTAGCAAGCATTAATACTTTTTTCATCAATAGCCATGTCTTTCCACTACCAGCTGGGCCTGTTATCCATTGTTCTGACGCTGAGCTGAGAATTATTAACAACTGCTTTTCTGTACACATCTCCATCACCTTTTTGTTTTCTTCAATTGACTCGCTTAGGGTGCAAGGAAGGCTGTGTGACATTCCAACAAAGCTGCAATTTTTTATAAGTAAGTATTTTAATCAGCACTCTCTTTTCTCCTTACACAAATTTCCTTCTCTTTATAACTTGTGCCCATTTTATGAATCTAAATTGAATTTTTTGGAAAATGTAAGTTGAAATAATACCTTCAATTTGTTTGAGTGTAAAATGTTTGTTTAATGAGTAAAAGTAGCCCCATGAAGAAATTAAAAATATTAATAATAAATTTGCTACTTATAACACACCTACCATTAACATAATTTATGTTCATACATATGCAAACAGACAAACAAATATTTCAATGCACGTAATGTGTTTGAAATTCCCAACTAACTGGAGGCAGACCAAGGGGTTATACTAGTTCAACAAATTAAGTGAATAGCAGAAGGAGGACTTGAACACAGGACCACCACATTACGAGTCTGCTGCCCTAACCACAAGGCCAGGCCACCTCCACATGAAATATTGGTATCAAAACCTTCCATTTAAATAACATCTTGAATCACTTGATAGCTAGTCACCATACTTCTTAAAGCAAAGTTTACGATTAAACAAATAAACTCCAAGTTTTACCTAATATAAAATGAAATCAAGTCTATATGATCACAGCTCATTTTAGGTTTATGCATATGTGGGAGTTTTTCTGGAACAACAAGAGAGGAAAATGTAAAGACAAGAGATAAAGGCATTGGTTTTTTAGATAATTCTACCAAAGATCAATTAATTTTTCAAGTTTTTCTGTTTTCTTTTTTTTTAAATCTGTTGGTCACCAAATATAACCATGGCAACCAAACCAGTTGCAGCTTGGACCGCAGATTAGAGACCTTAAGATTTGAGGATGTCACCTGTCTACGACACCAACGGAAGTTCATTTCAACTTAAAAATGACACTGCACATGTCTGTGTGTGAATGGGATGGTGTTTCACATGTGGTGAGTACGCCATTTTTTAAATTTTGCGTCGTGCACAAAATGTAAGTATGTTTTTGTTTTTGGAGTTCAAAATTATTCATTTCTTTTACCATTTTCACTGTTCTTTTGTATAATCTATTGTTAACAAAGCTTGTTATTTCATAGATAGACGATGGATTCCAGTTCCGAGTAAGTAGACTCCACATGTTCAGGGCTTTCATTAACGGGCCTGGGCACCTGGCAAATTGACCGGTTGTGAGGACGGTTTTGCCCAACTGGTTTGACAATCTGGAGGAAAGGTTATCTTATAAAGAAGTTCAGTTTAAAAGCTTCTGCCTGCCTGTGAAAATCAGTTGCCCTCCTGCCAAAAACATTAACAAAACTCCTGCATGTTTTCCTTACTAACAGAATGGAAAAATTTATCATGTTGAGCATCAATTTATCATGTCATGTGAGAGGTCGGCTCATGTAAGTAGAGTGTATTTATAATCAGAAGTGAAACTAGCAGTTTATACAGCGAGCCTAATCAAAAGTTTTCAAGCGCTGCTATCTTTCTTTTGAAGTCTCGATACATTTTCCTCCTGATTCCCATGTTTTACCAATTTATTCATGAATTATTAATTAACTGGTTACTCTTATGCGGTTTCTGCAACTTGAGAATAGATATATTGGAGAGGCTTGTTTTCTGGATAATTACAGTAATATATTTAGTTCTCAGCTTACCTTTAAAATGGTTTGAGTCTCACATAATTATGACTGTCATATTTATTATCCATGCAAGTTTCATACCACTACAAAGAATACTCATTTTGAAAGCCTCCATTAAATTAATTTTTTTATCCTTTCTCAGAGACCAGCTAAGTTCAGAATTTTAATTATATTGCTTTCTTTGGGACAGGTAAGCCAAGAACATCAACCAAGAGAGGGATGTCCTATTTTTCAAAGTAAAAATCTGTCTTTTACTCAGCCTCACTTTTATCTTATAGCACTAACAACAACTTTTCACTTGACTCTGATGATGACCTCCATTAAGATTGTCAAAACATCAGTCAGCACCAATAAAAAACCCTTCTTAGGGCTTAAACCATCAACCAGATGATCAGACTACAGGATTAAATTCCAAGATACATAAACCAACCAACACAAAGCAAAAAATAAAAAGCATAACATTCCAGTAACTCACCGCATAACAAGGATTTCAAACAATTTTTTATTGACATCCATCTCCCTCTTAACGTTGTCCTCCCACCATTTAGAAAATGCCTCCACACTTTCACAATGCTCTTTGAAGACACCATTAGAAGGAATTACAACAGAATCATCTGGGCGTGGGCAGTTGGGCATAACAACAAATCCTGGGTATGTGAACAATTCATGATTAATGTCCTTTTTCTTTCTGCCCTTCGCCTCCTTTGCAACAAATGCTTGTAAGGATTGTCTGTCTTTGAGCAATTGTTTATTAGCTTCAGAAAATTTCTCCTTTGTTCTCACTGCTGCCTTCACCTAGAAAAACAAAAATTCTTGGAACTTAAATCATATCATCATTTACATGTTGTCAACTTATGCTCTTGTGAAGACATGGAAGATCCCTCACAAAGGAATACATTCAAAGGTTGACTGTTTGCACATACAATATTTCCCTGAATAACCACTTACACTCTATTAAGTGCTCTCTCCCCAATAGGTGCCTATCTCCTAAGCCATTACGTCAAACAAATGCCCTCTTGAATAAGCACCCCGATCCCTCCCCTGCCCTGTTCTCCCTCACTTTCTTATAGCAGGCATACAAGGAAAACCTGTTTCAATGCCATTTCATTTGTAAATTCTTATGCTTCATCTACTGGAATCATTGCAAGGGGAATGCTAAGCACCCCCTTCCATTTAGCAACCCTCTTTAATTAAGCCAAATTTGGTAATTACAGTAAGCTAATTATTTTCTAATGATCTAAAGTAAACGAGGACATCACTATAATTTGGCTCTTAAAAGTGAAATCCATTTTTTTCTATCTTTACTGATTTGTCTCCAATCTCTATACCCCTAAAAGCAGCAGGTTATCAAGATTATAAAGGTCCCTTTTATATCCTTATAATAACAGCAAATTATATATTAATTAAGCCTTCATATTTTTTGTAACGTACTCTCTAAGAGTAAGTAAATAAGTGTAAGGATTTGCAAACAAGATATTGTACTTTGCAACTAATATAAACAATGAAGAGAACATTCAATTATGAATGAGTATTCAAATCAATTATGGTGAGTTTGTAAGTCAATCTCATAATAAATCAAAAATATGTAAATTTTTTCTGAATAACAAAGCTTTCTGTTTTACCTGGAAAAATATAAATCCGCATTTGGGATGAAGAACAACAAAATCATGCTCTCCAGTCAACCACTTCTTTTCTATCCTATTCGATTTCTTACTCCATTCGGAAATCATCTCGGCGAAATTGTAGGAGTGGATCACAAACATTCCTTCTGACTGACTCTCTCCAAAACTTTGCAATAGGTCAAAAACCTTCTTTTCTGCCTTCTCTCCATCATCTTGGCTACTGTACGAGAGCTCACAGGGAACCATATAAGTCTTTTCTGGGTCCCTCCAGTCCTCATAGTCGCGGTTCAGCATATTAGTCACCTCATCATCCCAGTTTCCTTCTCTTTTACCATTCAAAGACCCTAAGCAGCCAGTTGCAACAGCACGTTCCCCCAGCATTCTGTCTTAATGGTGGAGATTTTTAGAAATAATCTGCAAGGAAGAAATTTTTGTTTTCAGCACTATCTCAGAATTAAATTCTCCGCCAGTTTCCTTGCGTTAGCAATCAAATAAAATATAATTGATTTCAATCGAACGCAATTCATGGTTTAGTTCGGTTAAATTCGACTGAAAATCTGTTCGACTGCCTTCTCGAATAATTTTCAGGCATACATTTCCCGCGCATTCGCCAAAATTCAACAATTTCCGAGGAGTTTTCCACGATTAGGCGTTATTTACATTCTACCTAATACTGTTTACTTCTGTTTGAACTCCACAAAGAGTCACTGCTTTGGAAATGAAACCAGACAAGAGAGAACGGCGAAAACAGAGCCTCCCGGGATCGGATCAATTAACTTAAAATTGCACATTCGATTTCATTCACCGTCCGAATCTGTTGACATTTGATTCCTAAATAACCGATCTTTCGCAGAATGAAGATAAATTAGGTATTACTCACTGCCTCAAGAGTTCCACCCACCAAGGAAGCAAATTAAAGTTACTTCAATTTTAAAACACTTTGAAG